CAACTCGCCAAATTAAATCCCTCCAAAATTCCCACTATACTGTATGCATGTGAAGCTAAAGGGACTCACTTTAATTTGAGTTCATTTGTAGTGTAGTGAATATGACAGGCTCTCTCTCCACCTGCTACTACAGGTACAAATGCTAATCTTTGCCCTCCATTCATTCGGCAGTAGTGCTCAAAGTGTGACTCCAATTGATACTCATACATAGCTGGGACTGTCAGTGACATCACCTGTATTAAATAATAATAATAATAATAATAATAATAATAATAATAATAATAATAATAATAATAATAATAACAATAATAATAACAATAATAACAACAACAATAACAATAATTATGACAATGGCCATGGATGAGTATGGCACTTCTGAGAGCAACTGACCTCTGTCTGAGAGGTACTAGGAGCAAATTGAGACCAATGTTAATTGAAGATGATGCTCCTATTAACCCTTCTATCCTTAATTTTTAACTTATTTCATATAAATTTAAATTTCAACTTATTATAAATTATTTTGTGACTGCTATTGCTGTTCTTCCATTTGTTCATAATAATGTTAATAATTATGACAATAATAATAATAATAATAATACCATTATTATTACTATGTTTCTAACCTATCCTACATTTGTATTTTTGTCAATACGTAATAATATTGTTATGGTTAAAAAGTTATTATTATTATTATTATTATTATTATTATTATTATTATTATTATTATTATTATTATTATTATTATTATTATTATTATTATTATTATTATTCTTACTTGTTGTATTCTTCTTTCAGTGTATAATAATAGTAACAATAACTATTACTATCATTATTATTTCTATTAGTGTTATTATTATTACAGCAACAGTATTATTATTATTATTATTAATTGTAATAATAATGATGACAATAGTAATAATAAACAGTTAATAGTTCTTTTGTTTCGTAGGGCTCTCTTTCTGTTCTTCTCATTGTGCTGTTGCTTGTTACTTTATTATAATAATAATGATAATTTGCTTAATTGGTTCCTGCACTAGTTCTTGCTTAACATAATTAACATAATTATTGCCAAAATTAAATTTTGATGAATTTTTATTATGAATTTTAGTTGAGTATGTTTATCACTGCAACTGCTAAACACTAATTTTAAGTCCTACAACTATTTCTAGTTTCAGTGTCCTTGTGTGGGATGCAAGCATAGACAGTTTTTGGCAAAACTATGAAATGGCTGGAAATTCAGAGTGAAAATAATTTCTAGAACAAAATCAGCTTCTTGTAAAGTATAAACAAGAAAGGCAAAGATTAAAAATTAATTACATCTACTGCTGAGCAGCTGTGAACAATGAATCCAATCAACTATCACAACTATCACAAGACACAAGATAATGTCGTTAGAGGACCAGTGCTGGGCTGCCTTTAGAGATGGCAAACATGATGAAGCTGTTTCCTTACTACCATTAGTGAAGGAACCAAATAAAATCAAAGGATTTTATGACCCAGGGCCATGGGAGAACACTAGTCTACTTCATTTGTCTTTAAGGCATGGCTGGTTAGATGTTACAAAAGATCTCATCACTAAATATCACTGTGATCCACATGAATGTGATTATGGAGCTAAGACTTGTCTTGAATGGGCTGCAGAAGGTAATCATGTTGATACAGTGAGATATCTTATCAATGAGTGTCACTGCAATCCAATGGCTACTGATAGATATGGAGAGACTGTTCTTCACAAAGCAGCTGAACATGGATCACTTGATGTCATGAAGTACTTGATCAGTCATCATCACTGTGATCCAAAGGCTACTACCAATAATGGTCAGACTGCTCTTCACCTTGCCGGTGGATACATTGATATTTTAAAGTATCTCATTGATGAGTGTCACTGCAATCCAATGGCTACTGACTTTAACGAAAAGACAACTCTTCATAAAGCAGGTGAAAGCTTCTTGTGCAATTCACGTGTAGTCAAGTATCTCATCAATGAGTGTCACTGTGATCCAATGGCTATTGATAGGTATGGAGACACTGTTCTTCACAAAGCAGCTAAACATGGATCACTTGATGTCATGAAGTACTTGATCAGTCATCATCACTGTGATCCAATGGCTACTAACAATAAAGGTGAGACTGTTTTTCACCTTGCTGCTGCTAATCACATTGATACTATAAAGTATCTCATTGATGAGTGTCAATGTGATCCAATGGCTACTAACAACAGGGGCGAAACTGTTCTTCACCATGTTGCTAATCACATTGATATTGTAAAGTATCTCATTGATGAGTGTCACTGTGATCCAATGGCTATTGATGCGAATGGAGACACTGTTCTTCACAAAGCAGCTAAACATGGATCACTTGATGTCATGAAGTACTTGATCAGTCATCATCACTGTGATCCAATGGCTACTAACAATAAAGGTGAGACTGTTTTTCACCTTGCTGCTGCTAATCACATTGATACTATAAAGTATCTCATTGATGAGTGTCAATGTGATCCAATGGCTACTAACAACAGGGGCGAAACTGTTCTTCACCATGTTGCTAATCACATTGATATTATAAAGTATCTCATTGATGAGTGTCACTGTGATCCAATGGCTACTGACTCTAACAACATGACAACTCTTCATAAAGCAGCTCAAAGCAATTCATCTGATGTAGTCAAGTACCTCATCAATGAGAAACACTGTGATCCAATGACTGTTAACAATGAGGGGCAGACACCTCTTCACATTGCTGTGCATAACAGTAACTCTGCAATTGTTGAATATTTACTATCAACTGGTAAATGTAATCCATTGGCTAAAGACAATGTTGGGAACACACCAATACAACCAGCTAAGAAGTATGGTTACATTGATATTCTTCTTATCTTTAAGAAGTTTGGTGATATAAAATCATCTCATCCAATTGACTCTTATGTTAATGTCCTCCTTGTGGGTAATCCTGGAGCTGGTAAAACTACTTTTAGTCGTGTCATCAATGACACAACTACTGGTTCTGTTGTTTTTGGCTCATTTAGAAATGTTGGAGGGGTAGTGCCCTGTACTGCTGGTATCATTCCTTATAAACTACAACACAGGACACTGGGTAACATCATTCTTCATGATTTTGCTGGTCATTCAGAATACTATTCCAGTCACAGTGCTGTCATTGAGAATCTGTTACAAGGTTCTGGTGGTGTGTTCCTGATAGTAGTCAATATATTGGAGAAGGAACCAGTCAAACAGCTTCATCAGTGGCTAACAGTTGTGAGAAATGAAGCTCAGAAAGCTCTTAATCAATGCCATGTTATTGTAATAGTCAGTCATGTGGATGAGATAAGTAATCCTGTTGAAAAGAAAAGTAGAAAGGAAGAAATACAGGAGATTATTGTAAGGGAAAAGTGTGATAGCATCTTCTTAGATTGTCGTAAGCTTGGTGGGAGTGGTGTGGATTCCTTCTTTAAAATGTTGTCCAGTGCCTGTGAGTCCATTCGTAGTACAAGTGGAAGGAACTTGAGTCTTTATTGTCACATGATGTATGGTCTACTGGAGGAAAGAAAAGAGAATATACTGACCCTGTCTGATGTAATGTCTGCAGGTGAGGACAATGATGATTACTTTATACCAGATAATGGAAAAGACTTCTTGGATGTTCTTCATTCATTGCATTCAACTGGTTTGATCAGTGTTCTTAAAAGTGAAGACAAGGTATGGGTTGTCGTGAATAAGGGTATACTACTAACTGAGGTGGATGGGATTCTCTTTGCTCCCAAGACATTCAAGGAACATGTTGACATTGCTAGCAATACTGGCATTGTTAGTGTGTCCGGTCTGACTAGACTCTTCCCTAAATATGATCCTGACATGTTGATCTGTTTCCTCAAGAGCATGGAACTCTGTCAAGAAATGAATCCATATTTTCTAAAAATGACAAACTTAATATCAGGAGATAGAGAGGAGACAGGAGACAGTGCCTCAGAGACTCAAAAAAGAGG